TTACAGGATGGCTTGTAATTTCATACCATTTTAATTGGGTTAAGTGAATTTACTATAAAAAAGATCATGAAAAACATACCTGAAACAGAAAGGAATGTTTTAGTGACAACCATCATATGTTTTGGAGAAATAAATCATAGTTTAGGTTTAGGACAATTTCTTTCCATTCTATGATGCCTGGTGCACAATTCTATATATGACATTCTAGGCACAATTTTGTGATGACTGACGGTGCACTTATTTTTCGATAAGTGAAATATTTTTTGCTGAACAAGGTAAATGTAATCAATACCAGTATTCTTTGTTTTTAATCAATTTTTTTCTTAACTGGAGCCTTTGCTAACGGAGGTTCTACTGTAAATGCGCTTTTGGGGGTGCCCTGAATAGCCCCAGGGGGTGTCCCAAGTAGCCCTGCCGTGCGGAAATGGCCGTCATTTTTTAATTGAGGTACCTATGTAAATTCCGCAAATAAAGTTTTCATGCTGACACTTGTCTGCCACCTTTTTCTAAGCAAAATTTGTTAATATTTTTTTTTTTACTACAGACCTAAGCAGAAGTAACTTTTCAATAGCAAATCGGAAAGCAGGACCCAAAAATCTGGAACGTCCAGCACACTTCCACTTTCAGTCAATCATCATCACTGATGAGTCTCTGCAAGATGCCACAGCTGTTTCATTTAAAAAAAAACAACGCTTGCATCATCACAGTAACAAGAATCCAATCAATGCTTGAACGCGTCCAACGTACTGTCACAGGGATCCAATCATCGCTAGAACGTGTGCAACGTCACAGCCACTGGAATCCAATCAGCGATAGAAAGCTAGAAAAGGCCGCCTCAAATGCACACAATGTTAACGCACTGATGCTAACTTAATGTGTAATGCTACAATTCTTATTTCAAGAGCGTAATACAATAGTGTAGTTATGTCATTATTTATGGAAATCGCAAAGAATAACATCTTCACTATGTACACTCACTCACATATACATGAAAAACTGCCTATGATTCAATCCACATATACAAAACTGACCACCGATGCAATCAGCTGAGACATACAATCTCCTTTCATTGCGATCAGACAAACGAAAAACGTTAACAAAGAAGGTAGCAGGGATACCAACCGCACCGGCAACCAATGTGAAACCGACATCAATATAGTCATGTGAAAAAATAAAAGATACGAATTCTTCTATATTAAAAATTTATCAGTAACTGACATTCAACAGAAATCAGAATGGTTTAATAACCTTTGTAAATATTATACATCCATGCAGAATCAATCGTGTGCAACAGTGGCGGGAATCTAATGATGGTTAGTGGTTAGTTCTCATTGCCCAATCGGTGGGTGAGGTAACTACAGAACATTACTGCAGATAAAACTCCCGAACTTCGAGACGATAATTGAGTGAAAACTTTACATGATATGTTGTGAGCCTTCTAAAGTTTTAATAAAGAAGAAATCACAAGGTTCACAGAATCTAAAGGTTTGAATGCTAAATTTTTGACTTTTGAGTACTCTATTGACTATTGAGTCTATTCTAGTCAGTCAACTGTGAAGTGTCATGTTGTTTGTTGTGCATTGCCTTTTCTTTGAGAAGTTTTTCCAACTGCCAATGAGTTTCTCCTCAATTTGAAAGCTGAGGTAATGAATAGGTGCCATAAATGTTTTTTAAAATTTAATTTGAAACTATTATGTTATGAGTAAATAGTATTTCCTTCTGTAGATCCAGATCCATCCCTCTTGCTCATCTGTGAGTGACAGGCGCAATTAACAATCTTGCATGTGACCTTCTCTGTGTTGCCTGACTTGATGTTCATACGACTACGAGGTACGGGACCTACCGTAGTACGGTCAGACAAAAAGGTTGTTTGCACGGTGCACCTGTCTGATTAAAAGACCGATTGCATATGCAGAATTGAGTCAGTAATTTGAATCTATACACTGAGTATACAGCGGCATTACAGGTACAGCCTATACTCAAACAGTCAAACTCAATGACACTAAATAGTAAATACCTATTACTACTACTAGTAAAAAGTTATGTCATATATAGTCAATAAAATCCATTTAGGCCTACCTACCTATTAAATAGCTAATTGATATATCTTGAATTTTTGTAGGAATTTATTGATTGAAAATAGATGCCATTGCATTTTTATATAGGTTAATATTGCACAAAAATGTACAGTTTATATTTAATATTTGGCTTAAATTTTGGTCTAAAAAGTAAAAAAATTAGCTTCTCCTTTTCTTGCTCATTTTGTAGCTGCTTAAAAGCCAAAAGGCACGAGTTTTCATCGATACCGATCTTCAACTGCTTCATTCATACTATTTCCAAAGAAACACGTACTGCACTCGGCAACAGCACTAAGACGCACCAAAAATGATATTTACACTAACTACTTCTATTGTTTTATGCAATATTACTCGTTTATCCCCCCTCAGGGGGGACTTCTGACGGGTGTCTGTGCTCGTCAGAAGTCCTATGGGATTTTGCGCTCCTAGGGGGATTGTTCCTGAGCGCCCCACCGCTGAGCTCGCGGGGTCTGACTGCAGGTCTCAGTTGTGGGGTTAAGTTATTATGTAGGTAAGATTTCTTGCATTTCCCTTCTCTGTCTCTCTCGTGCGGGCTACCGACGTCTCGTGTAAGCGACCTCTTGTTAGAGTGTCTTCGTTTCTGTTGCTTTTCACCTGTCCCTCCTTGTCACTTCGTCTCTTTGAGATGCTAGCGCTGCTTCGTTCGAGCCAGCTTCAGCGGGCTGGACAATTGAGACCTTCCGTCCCTTGTGGGTGATGAATAATTGAGACCCTCCACCTCTATGGTGATGTTCATCTTGACTTTCGGTGCGAGATAGCTAAATAGCTGAAGCGCTAGTAAACAATTGGCCACTAAACTAACTAACTACTCGTTTATCCTATGGCTAACAACTAAGCCTCAAGCTCCGTGTTTCATGCCCAGGTTCAGAAGCTCCTCCGGTACCTCCTGGCATATTTCGAGACTCTATTCCTGCTGTGCGACGAACTAAACGCTGTCCAGGCCCCGGCCGTCATCAACATGCTAGCCATGCAGGAGCGGTGGCAGCAGCAGCTGTCACAAGCTATCATGTTACTCGTGCCTGCCTATGTTGGTTTGCTCATTGCCCCCACAGCGGTGAGTAAGGTGAGCTGAAACTGATGAATGCACAGTATAAGGCGGTGAAACAGCCGATTAACCAATAGATCAGGCGATGAATTTTTTAAAAAGAAAAGCTGTTTAAGTAAAATAAATTTCGAAAATTTTACCTACTCGCATGATGTGGAATGCTGATTTCTGCTCTGAAAACATCCTAGAAAGCCTCTCGTCGTGCTAGAAACAAATTAACAAACTAACGATATTAAATCAGAGTACAACATCAAATATTTTGAAAAATAAAATATGAATTAGTAAATTCAAAGTATGATTTCAAAAATATCTCTTTGTGCTTTGACAGGTGATGTATAATGAAGTATTGTCAGCTGAATTCACACAAATTAAAACATTTTCCAGAATAACCCTCGATCGCCGGGCACCAACCTTCTTCAACGCCATTTGACAAACGCTGAATTCGACAACCTGTACATCGTTGCTGAGCTCGTCGTGTGTCTGGCGTACAGCAAACGAAGCAGGAATATCATTGCCAAGGAAATTACAAGGCTCTTCACAGGACCCTTAGGATTATCGTATTTTGATGATGGCGAGAAGTCGTCACTTGGGTCTGGTCGGATGAAGCGCGCTGCCAAAGTCGGCGCTCCCGACGCACGTTTATCAAGTAAATAATTTTTTAAAATTCGTAGATAAAAAAACATCGAGTTTATTATAAACATATGAACACTAAGTATTGATTAGATGAAACAAGTTAGGATTAACTATCGCATTAGAAAATCTCAACGTTGAAATACCATAACTATCTGCATTTGACAGACGTTGTTCCTTGTAGTATTGTTATGGAACGCGGTCCCTAAATTTTGCTGATTGCTGGAAAAGAATTAGAGAATAAATAAACATATTTAAATAAAAAAATATCAGGCCCTTACACGGAATGTTGGATGTCCGCCATTAGATATGAAAAGAATGCCTGCTATTTCGATATGAAAAGAATTGAAATTAAAAACAACTAGCTTCGGATAATGAATCTAGTATAAAAATTTAATGTATACGCAAACTATCATTGCATTCATGAGTGTGGCCCACTGAGGAAATGATCAAAAAAATTATTGGCATCATTACAACTAATCATAGAAAATGATAACAGCAAATACTTTAGCACATTTTATCAACCATCACCTGTATAACCAGAGAAGCATGAATCAAAACCAACCATGATTTATGAATACGGCAAAGCGCAACGAAAAGCTCGGGAATTACATTTAATTCATAATCTTGAAGTACAGCACGTGCATGTAATTTTAAGTTAATTATTGGTGAAGTAATTATATATCCCTGCGGTTATACTCATTAATATTGGCATCTCTTTCTGCAGATATTCTAAAGCAGCCTTCGGGACTGATGAGCCGGACACCCCCTCCACTTGCAATGTTCCTCGAGACCTCCATTAGATCGGATTAGAAAGTGAATAAATAATAATAGAATTTGAGTATAAATAATTAACCATGTCTACTACGAGATTTGTCGTTGAAAAAAAAATTGGCTTTGATATACTGGAGGCCCAACACATAAATTTAAGCAGGAGTGGACATAGAAATACATTTGCTCCCGAATATATAAACATTGTGAAGGCTGACAAACGGACTGTGTTTAATAAGTCGAATACAAAGCACATATAGATTACTCATCACTAATTAAATGCAGATTTAGCTTTAGCAACTCTCCAAAACTTTTCTAGCGTTGTCTAAACAAAAATTCAATGAAGATTGTACACACTTAAACATTTGATTGAACATTCCGGCTTCTTACACACATTTTATAAGGTATTTTTGTTCATTCTTATGTTACTCAAAAGAACACGCTGTCGGTTTTATGTGACAAACTGAAATTAGGTATTTTTACTTTTACTACTTGCTTTAAGAAACGCTTAACAATTACTAGTTGTAAAGAGGCTACTTTCAGATTTTTCATCGGACACAACAACTTCATGGTGTTTTCATGAAAATGAAACTCGCATTTATTAAGATTGGATTTACTTAGCCAACGGTTCAGAGACGATTGATGCATAGCAGTATGAATAACAGCTAGCAGGAATGAAGAACTAAAGAGATGCCTAATTACATCACAATTTATTTGGAACACAAAACAACCACAGTGAATGAATGGGAATAGATGAGAACGGGATTTATTTTTCATCATTTTGGGTAAACCTGAATGAACAAAGAATGAGTCACTTCCAACTTCAAATTCAGTAAAAAATTAGCGAATTACGTAGCTCATGGATATATGATTCATGAAATATAACTTCATACGACATACACTGGCAACGCCTGAAATATTTTACCATTTGATTTGAATGAGAACTCAGACGATACATCGTCACAAAATAATGTGAAAGCAATTCATTTCCCTTCACCTGCCGACATCTAGGGGTCACAATTGGACAAATGTCCCAGAAGAAGCCATTGCTAACTCAAACTCAGGGAAATTAGATGAGATCAAAATGCTTGTCGCAAGAAACGGGCATCGGAAAAATTTAAGATGATAAAATCAGGGAATAAATCAGAAATATGTACTCTTCCCACACCTTTAATACTGATAAGTATAAAACCAGTCCTATAATCCAATGACATTTAAATTCCCCATTATTGAATGACAAAAAATTCTGTTTAAAATAGGATCTGGAATCCCAGTATTTGCACACGTCAACAACACCCCAGAATTTCATAATAATTTCTTTCATTGAGAGAATATTTATTTATCATGGCCATCCTCGAGCGCTATGTTGTTGCCATCAGCTCCTGGCGCTGCGATGTCAGCGCCGTCAGCGTTGGTTGGAGTTGCTGTGTTGTTGTTAGGGAGCGCTGACCCCCCCACCTGACCCCCAATAGGGGGACTCGTGCTCGCCCCGTTGTCGTTGCCGTTCTGGACGTGTTGCGTGCCCAGCCCGTACAGGTGGCCGCAGTACTTCTCATTGTCAATGTTGCCTTCGAAGTACAACTGCGCACAAATTATGCGTTGGTAAGGAAATTATTCATGTTAGGTCACATATGGTCTCAGACTTGAAAAAAAAAAAACATTTTAAATTTTTCTTTACTCAATAACTTTTGAAGAATTGCACTTAGCACCGTGACGTTTTTACCAAACCTCATGAGTACTACTATACTGTATATATATATACAAAAATTGCCAGGCTTGTAAGGATAGTAGTTTTTAGTTAGGAAGCTTTAGTACTTGAAATTGGAAAACCCACATGTGATTAAAAAAAGTGTGCTAGAAAAAAAACCCAACTCGTAAAAATGTTTCGGAGCGATGTTTGGATTTAAAATAGTATATACCTCAAAGGCTTGATCTACTTTTTTCACTGCCAGCCTTTTTTCGTTAAGTTTGCCAAGATTTGAGTCTATAAAAAACGGGCAGAAGTCTATGGACTTTCCACCTATCATTTCACACACTTGACTGTGGGCGTTAGTAATGACTAATATTTTTAAAACTGATTTTATGGACTTTTGATTTGATTTATGCCAAAAATAATATCAAACATGAAGTTATGATTCCCCCCCAAAAATAACCTTGGCTAAATCTAATTTTAATTAAAAAATTCTTAAGATTAATGTGTTTTTTTTTTCATATTTTGCTATGAGAAAATGCAGTATGCTATATCAGTTAACAGCAAAGTTTAAATTGACGTTAAGGTTACAGTTCAGGTTGGGCTAACATAAAATGGTTACAAAAATATCTCTGTAAAGTGATATTTTGACAAAACATATTTATCCACCCATGATTTGACAAAAACGAGCAAAAAAGCGGCCAAGAATTTGAACAAAAGTGCAAACAACGCAAAATGTACTCTGATGCAAAGGAAATATCCGGTGTTCACTCTTTTGATCTCATTAAATGACAAGTTGGTGGGCGTAGTAATGTATAGATAATTTTTATTGGTTTGGGTTTTTTCTACACACTATTACGATGGGTTGTTTTTTAGAATTTGGGACTAAAATATATACATAGTCTTACTGATCATAATAAAGTTAAAATACACAACAAAACGAACTCTATCATTATTTCATGGCGGATGGATGATAACTTTTTTCAAGGTTAGTTAAGTTATAAATATGTTGAAGATGCAATAAGTTCTTGAAGATAGCTTGACTGCCCTCAACTAAGCAAAAAAAATCTTGAACTGAGTTTAAATGATAGTCAGTTTTAAGAAACGTACATATCATCTTTATCCAAGACTCCTAATCTCTTCCCCATTAAAGTTTATATAACGAAAGATACAAGAGAATATTGTCTCTGGCGTTTCTAAGTCTATGAACTACACCAGAAACAAACCTCAGTTGCAACAAGGGGGTATAAGTTGCAAGGACTAGGGGTATAAATAACATTAATGGTGGTTAGTGTATCTGTTGATAAAGGGTTGAATATTCCTCTATATATTATTCCCAACTCCAAACAGGTTAAAGCAGCAAAGAACCTCTCTCATTTTGAAGAATGTCGCGCCTGTAAGCAGGGAGTCGGAGCCTGCCTGATGCTGGGGGCCGATGCGGTCCAATTCCAGCTGCTCGGACACCTCCTGCAGCCCCCCTTTCAGGTTCTTGCACGACTTCATCAGGTACTGAAACATGCAGAAAAATTAATCAGTATGCAAAATGTGACAAAGAATGATAAATAATAACAGAATAAATAATTTTCATTGATAAAATCATAAAATCAGGGAATAAATCATAAATATGAACTCTTCCCACACCATTAATACTGATAAATATAAAACCAGTCCTAGAATCTAATGATTTTTCAATTCCCAATTTGTGAATGACATAATTTTCAGTTTAAAACTTGCTCTGGAATCCTAGTATTTGCACACGTCAAGAAAACCCCAGAATTTCATATTCATTTTCTTCATTGACAGACTATTTATTTATCATTTCACCCCAAAAGTTTTTCTATTTTAGACAATTAGTTGATAAATTGTAACAATTGATTTTCAGTACAAACCAATATTTTTTTCATGAAATATACAGCACACCTTTACGTCATGGATAAAATCATAACATAAACGCTCACATTTATATCACATATACTAGGTGGCAGAAATGCTCACATTAACATCGCATATAGGTGACAGAAATGCTCACATTAACATCACAAATAGATGACAGAAAAGCTCACCTTAACATCATAGATGACAGGAAAATAAAGGTATAGCACCTCAAAGAATTTGCTTTCTTCTGCAGGCAAGTTCTGATTGGTCAGCAGCTTTATAAGATATCCAAAGTCATAACCACTGAAAAACAAAATAAAAAATAAGTATTGCTTCTTCTTTTAATTATTTCAACATGAATTATACTTTGAATACCTAACAAATGGTTTATTTATGGAAATAAACTTTAAATAACACCAATTCCATCACATGCATAATAAGAGCAAGAAAAATTCATGGGTACGTACTTAATGTTCTAGATTAATTCTGCCTTCACTATTTCAGTGGTTGTAAGTAACAATTAATTCTTTGAATATTTTACCTTTGGGTATAACAGGTCATTTGTTATCTATTTCTGAACTAAATAAATGAAGTTTAGATAATTGGAATACTAAAAAATAAAAATCTAATACAATGAATTTAGTAGTAGTATTTTCTAAAGTTGAAATTGCAGCTTTGAACTAACCTGTGGAAAGACAGGAACCTGACATCATCCAAGATTACCACACCAGAAGTCATGAGCAGCTCAGCAAAGGAGACAGGGTCAATGCCTTCCTTTTGATGGCGCTCAAAATTTAGGCCTGAGTTCTGTAGCAGGTCTATGCTATCTTGAGCATACATGTCCTCTCTGTACAGAAAATACATTTCACCATTACAACATTCATAAAAACTTAACCTACAAAACAATGTCAAAATTATAATTGCTGATTGCAATAAAAACACTAAATTTTTACTAAAAAATTAACTAACCAAATAAACAACTAACTAAATTTAGAACTCTAGTGACAACCACTAGGATATAAGTTAACAATGTAAAAACAGAACAAGAAGGATACAGAGCCATTTTGATTACTTACGTCAAATTAAACTCAAAATTGAACTGCCATGTGGATATCCCTGGTGCTGGTTTGCCATTTTCATCAAAAAATGAGAGGCCAAGTTGAATTATTTTGAGCAAATCCACATTGCAGCGCAGCAACTGGTATTGGAAGTCTGCATTGCTTACAAACTCGCCAATGGGCTTTGCCACAACTCCAGGAAATTCAGTATCCTGAAAGAAGGAATCAATGACAAAAATTATTACTGTTCATATAGGAAGATTTATCATCCTGCACCTAATATTTACTATATTTTCTATCACATATTGGTCATTGCTAACACTGGCAAATATCAGGAGAAAATGGTCAGACTTATCAAAATAAAAAATAAGTCAAAGAAAAAATTAGAAGGTTTTAGATAATATAGAAGCCAGCAACAAGAACTACTTACCATTGCAACATAAGGATAATGTTTCACAACTTGTCTGATGCTGTCAAACTCATCCTCCAAGTTGCTCTTCCATACCTCTCTAATGCCACACTCTTCATTGGTGGGCTCTCTAGGAGGGCCCATCACAAACTGTCTAGCCACGCCGGGCACGGGCATTTTCTTGGTCACTTGAGGCAACCAGAGTCCGTAAATAATGTGTGAATTATTATATAAAGAAAAATCTGTAAAGGAAGTTGCAGTATTGAAGGCATTGATAAGTCAATATTATGGTACAAGAGGAAAAATGTGTCTGGAGCAGAACAATTTAAAAGTACGGTATCCAGTATCTACTGCTCAAGCCATGACTAGAACATTCCCACCATTTTTGGAACCCCAAAATTCTAGCTAGATCAATTACTATATTTCCCATCTAACTGTCAATAAAACTGCATGACTGGTCAAATTGGGCCATGAGATTTTATTCACAAGAGGAAAATTTTAATATAAGTACCGTATAGTGTAAATCTGATCAATTGCATCCCTTCCTAATCCTATGGCTTTTTCCTAATTTTTTTGGTTAAAATAAAGAAGCCCATTTTAACCAGCAATGTTTAAAATTATACTTTGAATTGATTTTTTAATATTCATTTTAGAAAGCTTCTGCCTGATTTTTCAAATTTGTAGATAGTCCAGTTTAGATACTTGAGCAGTTAAGCAAGCTCACTTCAACTTAAGGGGAGCATTTGGGTATAGAAAAACTTTTTTTTTTATTTCACAGACTGATCATTTTGAAACTTAGTACACATATGTAAAACAGAAATTAATTATTATATAATTAATTATATTATCTTATTATAATTAATTATAATTATTTAATATGGCTTATGGAATGGCTTATTGGCTTGGGACATAGACTTATGGCTCAAAAATTTGTTAGTTCACAGCTCAAAAAATCAGTTGTAGCTCACAGAGTAGATGCTCTCCTCCCCTGTGTTCAGGGAAGCCAAAAAAATTTCATTTATTGAAAAGAGAAAAATATGCCAAAAAAAGCTTGATCTATATATTGTAGCCCAAGTCCCTAAGATTTCCCATTGCCAATTAGTTGCATAATAATTGCATTTACTGATTTTGGGTACCAGAACGTGTCTTTAGACTTATTCTTGTCCAGTTTAAAGGGAATAAGCTATAAATGTGCCTTTTTTTATCATTATATATATTAAAAATGTTCATTTTATACAAGTTCAAAATGGCTTAATGCAAAAAACATTACATGTACCGTCAACCAGGGCTACTCGGGACAATTTCAAATGTTTTTCATTCATAACTTCTTACCATGAAACATTTCATAAACAAGTTTAGGCTCATTTCAATGCTCTTTGCAAGGGCTATTGCATGGCTTTTCCAAAAAATTCCATATGCTATTTGTAAGGTGCCAGAAGCAAAAAAAAGAGTGTCCCAAGTAGTCCCGGCAAATGGGGCTACTCAGAACACTTGGAATAAAACTTAATTTTAAAACATTTGAAGAATGCAGAGTGAACTCATCCATTACTAACAGTACCATCAAATGGGGTAAAAAGGGCCGGGCGGGGTAAATAGGGATGCATGTCCCACATTTCATAGAAATGTTGTAACAGCCAAACTAATCAGAATATTGCAAAACTAAAAATAGTGGCGTAAACTTCAACATTTTTACTATCTATTATGTATAAAGCTAGTCATGAAATCAAACATTTACTATCTCTAAAAAATCATTGAAAAAAAGTGTAACAAGTGTGATTTTGGAAAAGTAGGTACCTCTGCTTAGGTCTGGAGCAGAAAAATATTTGCCTTATTAAAAAATTTTACTTACATAAAAGTTGCCCCCAGGTGTCAGCTATAAAACGTAATTGACGGAATTTGCCTATCTCATTAAAAAAAATGGCAGCCATTTCTGCATGGCGGGGCTACTCGGGACACCCCCCGGGGTAATTAGGGACACCCTTAAAACTGCATTTACAGTAGAACCTCAGTTAGCAAAGGCTCCAGTTAACCCTTTACGCCCTGAATTTCTGGGACAAAAATAGTAAAATTCACTTTTTGGGTTTTAAGTCTCACTTTGAAGCTGACATTCTGACATATCCAATGGTACCAAAATCATCTCTGTACGTTGATTTATGCCTTGACGACAGTTTGTGAAAGTGTTAGGGGTGGGGGAGTTCTTTCACATTTAATATAGGCGAAAATTACTGGTTGGGCACATAAATATGCAACCTGAAGACGCTGATCTTTAGTTAATAACCGAAATAGAATTTCCATAAGAAATTGGACATTGCCATTGGAAATTGGAAATTATATTTCGGTTATTTACTGACAGATAACTTTGAAACTTGTACACATATGTAAAAAATAAATCTAAGACTTTTTTTATTCTTGTGAATTTTTTGAAAAAATGATTGAAAACGTGAAATTGTTGGAAAAGGTAGCTAGTCCCTGGTGTGACGAATTCGTCACGCCAGGGCGTAAAGGGTTAACAAAAAAATTTATCAACAACAAAGAATTTTGATTACATTTACCTCACTTGGCAAAAAAAATTCACTTATCGAAAAATTAGTGCATCATTGGTCGTCACAAAATTGTACAACCGCACATAGAATGCTATATATTGAATTGTGCACCGGGCATCATAGAATGAAAAGTAATTGACCTAAACTATGATTTATTTCTTCAAAATATATGATGGTTGTCACTAAAACATTATTTTCTGTTTCAGGT